TTCTTTTGTTCCCAACACTGACTGAGTTGCAAAGTTTATTGATTTTACCTTTAAAATATTTCTAGGTATCTCTTTCCACTGCCATGACCCAGACCTGTCCACTTTTCAGGGCCACCGTAAAAGTCTCCTAACAGGTTTCTGCACTTCCGGACCCTCCATCCATCCATTCATGTTAAACAAACACTAGACTAATATTTCCTGAAGCACAGCCCCAATTACCTGGTTCTCCCCTCATCTTCTTCAGTGTTTCCCAATCTACCTGTTGGGTCGGCTCTTGTTTTCCCTTCACATATTCTCCCTGCTGTCTCAACATGCTTCTGTATCCATATTGCTCCCTTTGCTTAGAAAGCCACCCCCCATTTCCAAATGTCCAGAGTCTACCAGTCTTTCAGTGCTCAGCTTAAATGACACTCCTGTGAAACTTCCCCTAGTCCTTTCTCTCAACATTTATGTTTTGTGTTGAAGAACTATTCATTCATTCAACATACATTTACTGAGTGCCGACTATGTGCCAGGCAGGGTTCTAAGTGATGAGCAATGATCAAAACAGATAAAAGTCTCTTTTTTCCAGGGTATGGCATTCTAGAGGGGAAACAGGTGATTAAAAAAATAAGAAACCATTGGACTTCCCTGGTGGTAAAGTGGTTGGGAATTCGCCTGCCATTGCAAGGGACATGGGTTCAATCTCTGGCCCAAGAAGACTCTACAAGCTTCAGAGCAACTAAGCCCATGCAGCACATCTACTGAAGCCCCTGCACCCTAGAGCCTGTGTTCCCCAACAAGAGAAGCCACAGCAATGAGAAGCCCGCATACCACAACGAAGATAGTTCCCACTCGCTTAAACTAGAGAAAGCCTGCACAGCAATCAAGACCCAATGCAACCAAAAATAAATAATTTAAAAAAAAAAGAAACCACATTGAATGCCTGGTGATGAGTAGCACTGCAGAGTAAAATGAATAAGGAAAAGGACCAGGCAATTTCAAGAAGTTGCTATTTTAAAGCAGGTTTTCAGGGAAGGCTCAATGAGAAGAGGATGTGAAGAAGGTAAGGCGCTGGGTGAAGCACGGGTGTGGGGCGGAGACAATAGGAAACCAGGCTGGCACTGTGGGGAAGGCAAGAACAATCTGTTCTAGAACAATCTCTAGGGCCCAGAGTCTGGAGACTTAGATTTCAAACAGACAATCATTGTCTCAGAGTTGAGGAGAACTTTACAGATCATTCAGTACAACTACCCATTAGATTATTAAACACCTTTATTACAACTCTCAGGTAGCCATCTTGTCACCACTTCCTCACCTTAAGTGGGCATAATACTAATATACAGGATAGTTGTGAAAATTGAGTTAACATATATAAAATTCTTACAACTATGCCAAGTCTATAGTAAACACTCAATAAACACTAGCTATTATTGAGTGGTGGCAGTAGGAGTAATTACCCCAATTTTAAAGACAAGCAAAATGAAACATTGGGAAGTTATATTACTTGTGTTAAGTTTTCAAAATTTAAAGTGGTAGAGCCAGAATTTGAACTTTATTGTAGGTGCTAATTACTACATCCTACTGACTTCAAAAGTGGAACAAAAGGTGGTATTTGGACTTTAACCCTATAACCTCAAGTCACACAAATTAAGGATATTTACAAATGAAACTCAAACACAAGAAGAGGGAAATCATCTTTTGCTTCATGTCTTTAGAATATTAGCTGAAAGCCTAACTAGATATCAAGGAAGGCCAGAACAGTTGTATGATTTTGTTAAGGAAAAAAAAATCTATTAGTCCTAATTGGAAATCAAGCCTTGCCCAAGAATAAGCCTTCTGATAACTGGGTTGGAGCTTTCAATCTCATTTCTCATGTTACCCTTACTGGTAAAGGTATGTAATGATTCCAAAGAAATTAACTTCCCAAAACAATTCACAATATTAGCAGGAAAAAAAAAAACCTACATCACAATTAGAAAAAGCAGAGATGTGTTTATAACTAGAAAAGAGGAATAATATTAAAAGCGAAAACAGTTATCAACTAACTGTACCTATGGAAAAGAGGTGAATGTCTCTGTTCTAAATTGTGAGCATAAATTACAAGCCTAAATGTTCAAAAAGGGGAGGTGATTACACGTGTACTATTTCAAACAATGGTGTCTTCAAAAATCAGTTCTTAAACCACATCGATGGATGGCCACTCACTACTTCAGTCTCACTGTGCTGCTGGGAGTATGACTAACTCCCACGTGCTGAACAACATCCTATGAGATATTCACACCACAAACATCTAATGACCACTGTTCCAGAAGAGAGGAGTGAGGTGGTGAAAAACACAAAGGCCTGCTTTCACAGAGCTGACACTGTACACAGGTATAAGGAAGAAATAAAGGCTCAGTTGCTAGGCCTGTCAGACTCTAAAGCCTATACCACATGTTTCAACTGTATCATCTCACACTGGCGAGATACACCTTCTCCTAAAAATCCACACCTGACCATGCAGGCCTGATACCACTGTCTGCAACAACTTAGGCTTTCTCTCTGTTGGCAGTCCAGTGTCCCCTTCTTAGCGAACTGTTCCTCCCCTACTCCCAAAAGCAAAGACTGCATGGTCAAGAGTTAACATATACTGACACATATGAAATTCTTTTTTTCCCTCATTAGGTCCTAAACTCTCTCAGAACAAGAACCATACCTCAGCCTCTTTTTAAGTCTAGAAGATGGTACATGCAGTAGGTATTCAATCAAGGGCCGAGAGGAGTTCATGAGAACAATTTCAACAAAGTCAACTGTGGAGGCCAGCCTGAAAGGAACTAAGGACTAAAGGGAAGAGAAGGACATATTTTTTTTTATGAACAAATCTAGAAAGGAAACAGATGGAGAAAGAGAGCACTGTGAAGAAGTAACATGGCCACAGTAAAGGCGGTTTATTTTGTTTTTTTGTTTGTTTGTTTTTTAAGAAAAATGAGAAAGATTTGAATGTATGTGTTGGTAGGGTAGTACAGCACAGTACAAAGACCAGAGGTGTCAGCATTAGCGACCTGAATTTGCATTCTGGCCCTGTCGCTACATCTACAGACCACTTAACCTCTGTACTTCAATTCACACCCATATAAAATGACAGTGAGAATACCTGCACCTCACTGTGACAGTTACAGCATAAGCAAATAGAGGACATTCAATAAGTGGTACTGATCATTATTACCTATGTGGACGCCTGGACTCTGGTGTTCTAAACCTCCCACATAGTTTGTGCTTTAGTCCAGATTTTCTGTCTCACTCTACATGTAATATGCGATGGCAAAGAAACAGGGTCTTTATTTCGCCTGTGTGTGCCACCTTCCATGCTATTCCTCTTCCTCGTGACAGACTGCATGAGTTCCTAAATGGCTCCTGTGGAAAATCAGTGATGTCACCAGCTAAGGAAGAGAGACAAACTGCAGAATAAGCAGATGACACTGGCTTTAAATTATCAAATGTACCAGATTTTGAGCTCCTGCCAAAACATTCATTGAGAACTGGGAAGAGAGAAACCAAAAACACAAACACACAGAACACTGTTTAAGTTTCAAAGCCATCAAGGTGTCCCCAGCATCCACTCTGGGCACAGAAAGAAGGCAATATGATAAAACATGATCCCTGAGGTCCTTTCTCAGTATTTTACTCTGATGTCAGATTCATTATAAGTTCCCCAAATCAGTATTAGTATTTAAATAATTTTTGTTCACAGTCATTTATTTATTTTGTCGTGCCATGCAGTTTGTGGGATTTTAGTTCCTTCACCAGGGATTGAACCCCAGCTCTCAGCAGTTAGAGAGTGGAGTCCTAACCACTGGACTGCCAGAGAAATCCCTACAGCCATTTAAAGTTAATGCTCAAAAAAAAGAAAAAGAAAGTTAATGCTCATGGGTTGTGTTCACCTGTTACCTATATCTGGTCAAGAGAAACACCCTACCTCAGTCCTCTCTCCCAGATCTCACATCCCCATGCTTAACAAGGTATATGGAAGTGGGTGAAAGCCCAGGTTAATGTAATAAGTAATGATGAAAAGGCTACAGGCACCTGGGATTATCAAAATACAGGAAAGATGTCTTTTATTAGAATCAATTACCAGCTAATCAAGGACCACAGAAATAAATGTGTAAAACAAAAAATATAACTATCATTTAGCGTTCAAAGACAACTGGAAGATGGAAAAGAGATGAGGAGGAAAAGCAGCAGGAAGAACATTTGTTATCTACAAACTTAATCACAAACAATTACAAAAGCTACAAGTAACCAAGTCGAGGCTGAAAATTCAGTTTTTGTGAAACAGGGTCTGATTAGGAACTTGAGTTTACCACGGAAGAATAAGAAAGAAGGGTAAAGAATATTCCAGACAGCTCATAACACAAAACCAGAAAGCAAAAAAAATAAAAATAAAAAAAGCCAGAAACCCACCACAAATCGCATAGGCAGCACAAGACTGGAAACATGGTAACAGTCATTCGTCACTGAAAAGAAACTTCAAATCATCCTTTCCCCCCGTATAAAAAGCATCTTGAATCATTATTCCATGAGAATAATTTTCAAAATTCCGATCCTAACCACACAGGCTGATCCCGGATAATACGCGCCTCAGTGTCTCCAGTGTTAGAAAACGCATAATAAGGTGAGTTCTGAGTCTGACCAGAATCTAAGCTTGTTCTCACCCCAGACCTGAATCTTCAACGTCAAGTTACAAGTCACACCTGAGGAAGACTTTGCTACGGTAAATGTATCGGAGGCTGCCGTTCCTTCAAAGAAAAGAGCCCCGGCGTGAGGTGCGGTTTCTGTAAATTGCTCCCAGCGGCGGGAGGGGCTGTATTGGGGCTCCAGCCCCCAGAGCACTTCAGCTCGGGCGCTGGGGACCCCCACTTCTCGCTGGGCCGGCCAGGGGGTTTCCCGACCCCGGGAGGCCACCCCCGCCCCGAGCACCGTCCTCGCCTCGAAAGGCCCCGCACCCGACCTCATCAAGCCCGCCACTGGAGACCGCCGGCCTAGACCCCCACCCTGTGCGCCTGACGAGCGAGGGCCCGGCCGGCCCGCGCGGCAGCGCCTCCCGGCTTCTCTGCTCGTCCATCTGCCAGTCCGTGCGTCAGTCGGTCTCTCCATAGCCCCCGCGTCTCCACCAGGGGTGCATGTGTGGGCGCCGGGCCCTGCAGACCCAGCGGGTCGCCACCAGCCTCTCGCTCGGCACTCACCTGCCCTGCGGGGGATGTCCAGCTGCCCCACCGCCGCGCGCCGTCGCCTCCACGGTGCCAACCCTGCTCTGACTCGCGCGGCTCTGCCCCTGTCAGCGCTCGGCTGCGCCACCACGCACGCGCGCCGGGCCGAGCCGACGGTCGCGCGGCATTCTGGGGGCTGTAGTCTTTTGGGTCCGCTGGGCGGGAGGGGCGGCGGGGTCTGCGAGCCTCTGGACCCGGCATACCAAGCTCTTTTCGAAACCGACTGTGCGTCTTCCAGAGGACGCAGGGGTGGGAGGTGTGACCTTCGAAGCCCAGTTTTGGCCTGGCGAGGCCCACTTGGCCTCTCTTCTGCATTGCAGCCTGAGGAGTTAGGGGAATATTGGGGTGGGTCTGTGGTCAGGCTAAGGGATAGACGCTGCAGGGCTGTGGGAAGGAGCGGCTTACTTGATATTCATTTTCTAAATATTTAAGCGCCTTCTTTATGGGTGTACAAACCAGTCCTAGACCAGTCTGACCCACTCTTACACAATTCACAAGCCTTGGAAGGAGTCACAAATTGTAACAAATTGATTGAGGTCTTTCGGGCATAATACAGTGAGGGTGTAGTCAGAGGTCTGAATTTCAGTCTTATCAACCACGTTAATGTTTGGCTCACCCATAAAATGAGAACCTGAACCTATGGTTGCTGTGAGAACTGATTGTTATTTGAGAAAATGTTAAAGGACAGTGTGACTGAACAGTCCATGACAGTAGCTGGGCCCAACTCCATTTGATACCCAGGTCCCAGTTGATATCAGGCTCTAGTTTTAAAAAAATAAAGCACTTCTCATGTTTTAGAAAGGTCACCAAAAACTACAACAGAATTACAGAAATATTTCTCTAGAAACTTCACCCTACTCGGAAGAGGAAGACAATTTAGCTTTAGAGCTGTTTATTAAACTAAGCTCAAATTTCTAAGGGTATTCCAAGGTGGGAATGATGCAGTGAATTAATGGGAACCACAGATGAAGTATACACAACACAAGGCATTCTCAGTCATGACCTCATGGTATTATGCTCACTTTACAAACCACTTTTATGTTATTCACAACACTCCTGTGGTAAAAGCGGGGCAAATTTTATGCTTAAAATTTTAGAGAACTTGGCCAAAATCATAAGAACTGGTAAGTGGCTGAGGAACTGCAGAAACAGAGGGTCAACTTCAAAGTTATATGTGGGCTTTCAACCACAGAGGTCAGTGCCGCATGTGCTTCAAGGGTCAACTGTCCTTGGCCCTGGCGCTGTTCTCATTACAGCTTTATGAAGTCCTGTCTGAGGGGTAACTTTCCCATAGTTTTAAACCTCTCAGCGCCCTAGAGCTGTATCAATGAAAGGCTACATCATTTGTGGATGGAAATGACTTTTGAAGCATTCATGGCTCCAGGCTCCCTCTGAACTTCATCTGTGTCTCCTTTGATAAGAACTTATTATTTCCTAGGAAACTCCCATGGGGAAAGTCCTGTACTTACAAGAGGGGTCTGTAGTAGCTTCCAAGTACTCCTTTGAGCCCCTCCTTCCACACCAGCTTGGGCTGGGAGTCACCTGGCCACAACTTCTGGCTCGCTATAGAGGAAGGCCCACTACCACCACAATATAAGAGAACTTTCAGCACAAAATAAGGCATTAGAATCTGAAAGGGCAGCTCTAACTGGCTTTTCTAAGGCCAGAGGACCTTGTTACACAAGAAGATATAGAGGGCCTCCTGTTTCGTGCCACCCAAAGTTCTCATTTGACCTTTTGTCCAATAGTCACCAACAGATCAGCTCATCCTTTGAAGTGCTTATGTTGAAATCTGGGCCAGAAATCCAACTCAGTTCCTTCTTGAGTTTGTACATTTCATGATTATACTTTTCACCAGGGCAAATGATCACCCATACTCATCACTTAAACCATCCCCCATGCAATCCTCTTCAAAAATTTGGCCTCTAAGAATCTTTCTGTACAATACACAGCACTTAATGAGGTAAGCATAAGGTCACACCAGATCCAGAACTGAAAATCCAAATTTTGCTTTTACTTCTAGTTATGGTGGTGCTCATGGTAAAGAACCTGCCTGCCAGTGCAGGAGATATAAGAGATTAGGGATCCGTCTCTGGGTCGGGAAGATCCCCTGGAGTAGGAAATAGCAACCCACTCCAGTATTCATGCCTGGAGAATTTTATGGACAGAGGAGCCTGGTGGGCTATAGTCCATAGTGTCACAGAATCGGACACAACTGAAGTGACTTAGCACATACACACGTTCAGAAATAGCTAAATTTTGTGTCCGTTAGACCACATCTCTAATAAAGAACATACCTTGTAAGTAACGTATATGAACTCCAGTATTTTTAATCTTTTTTTCTTTGGTGGCACCACGTGACTTGTGGGATCTTAGTTCCCCAACCAGGAACTGAACCTGGACCCTTAGCAGTGAGACTGCAGAGCCCTAACCTGTGGACCACGAGGGAATTATGAATTTCAGTATTTTTAAAATGTATCATGACTAAATATAATTTCTGCTCCAGACAGAGTCCTGGAACGGAAAAACGTTATTAGCTAAAAATTAAGGATTTTTAATATATCAAAATTGGTTAATAACTGTGAAATGGTACATACAATTTTAAGGGAAACCAATCAGTATATATGGAAACTCTACTTTATAAGCAGTTTTCCTGTAAATCTAAAACTTTTCTAAAATTTCAATAAAAATTCCATTCAAAACTTGAAAGAATGCACAGAAGCAAAAAGAAAATATAAAACACCTAGGAATAAGTCCGAATAAGGAGGTAAAAGACCTGTTCTTGCAAAACTATGACTCTGCCAAAAGAAACTGAAGATGACACAAACAGATGGAAAGATATACCATGTTCACGGATTGGAAGAATAGTTAAAATGACCATACCCAAGGGAATTTACAGATCCAATGCAATCCTTATCAAAATATCAGTGACATTTTTTACAGAACTAGAACAATTTGCATGGAAACACAAAAGATCCCAAATAGCCAAAACAATCCTGGGACAGAACTAAACTGGAGGTATTATACTCCCTAATTTCAAACTATACTGCACAGCTAGTCATCAAGACAGTATAGTACTGACACAAAACCAGAGCTGTAGGTCAATAGACAGAACAGAGAGCCCAGAAGTTGTCCACTCATATGGACAATTAATCTACGACAAAGGAGGCAAGAATATAAATAGGGAAAAGACAGCCTCTTCAATAGTGTTGGGAAAACTGGATAGCTACATGCAAAAGCATTAATAATGAATACTGGTGAGGATGTGGAAAAAAGGGAACCCTTGTGCACTGTGTATGGGGAATGTAAATCGAGGCAGTCACTATAGAAAACAATATGGAGTTTTCTTAAAACATTAAAAATAGAACTACCATATGATCCAGCAATTCCATCTCTAACTAGAAAAGATATGCAGCCCTATGCTGATTACATTTTTATTTATAATATTTGGCTATTTTGGCCATATTTTGGCATATGGAAGCAACCCAAGTGCCCATCAGTAGGTGGGTAATGATGATGTGGTAGACACAATGGGATATTACTCAGAATGAAATCTTGCCATTTGCAACATTGATGGTTTTGGAGGTTACTATACGAAAAATTGATGCTTTTGAACTGTGGTGTTGGAGAAGACTCTTGAGAGTCCCTTGGACTGCAAGGAGATCCAACCAGTCCATGCTAAAGGAGACCAGTCCTGGGTGTTCATTGGAAGGACCGATGTCCTTGGAAGGACATCATTGGAAGGGCTGAAGCTGAAACACCAGTACTTTGACCACCTCATGCGAAAAGGTGACTCATTGGAAAAGACACTGTTGCTGGGAGGGATTGGGGGCAGGAGGAGAAGGGGACGACAGAGGATGAGATGGCTGGATGGCATCACCGACTCGATGGGCATGAGTTTGAGTAAACTCCAGGAGCTGGTGATGGACAGGGAGGCCTGGTGTGCTGTGATTCATGGGGTCGCAGAGTCGGACACAACTGAGCGACTGAACTGAACTGATACTGAGTGAACTAAGTCAGCAGACAAATATTGTATGGTTTCACTTATATTTGGAATCTAAAAACAAAAAAAACATAATAACAGAAACAGAGTCACAGAGAACAATCAGGCGGTTGCCAGGAGGGAGGGGGTGAGGAGAGAGAAGTCAGTGACAGAAGTTAAGAGGTACAAACTTCCAGTTGCAAAATAGGTGAGTCATGGGTATGAAATGTACAGTGTGAGGAATATAGTTAAGAAATGTGTAATATCTTTTATGGTAATAAATTATAATTAGACATTGTGGCGATCACTTTGAAATGCATAAAAATATCAAATCAATGTTGATTAACAAGAACTAACATAGTGTTGTAGGACAATTATATTTCAAAAACAAACTCATAGGAAAAACATGACTTTTGGTTACCAGAAGTAAGGAGTGGGAGCAAGGAGAACTGGTTGAAAGCAGTCAAAAGGTATGTCTTTGGACTTCCCTGGTGGTCCAGTGGTTAAGACTGTGCTTCCATTACATGGGGCACAGGTTCAACCCCTGGTCTGGGAAGTTCTGCATGCCAACCAGTTCAGCCCTGCCCCTGCTCCCCAAAAAATGTACAAACTTCCACTTTTGTAACTAGGGGTATATTGCACATGATAAATATAATTAACACTGTGTACGTGCACACTTAGTCATGTCTGACTCTTTGTAACCCCACAGACTGTGGCCCACCAGGCTCCTCTGTCCATGGGATTTCCCAGGCAAGAATACTGGAGTGGGTTGCCATTTTCTTCTACAAGGGATCTTTCTGACGCAGGAATCAAAAATGAGTTTACTTCATCTCCTGCACTAACAGGTGAGTTCTTTACCACTGCACCACCTGGCAGGCCATAATTAACACTGCTGCATGTTACATATGAAAGTTGTTGGGAGAGTAAATCCCAAGAGTTCTCGTAAGAAAAATATTTTTAATTTAAAATTAGTTTACTAAGCTTATTGTGAGATCATCATGCTGTACACCTTAAAATTATACAGTGCTGTATGTCAATTATACCTCAATGAAACTGGAAGAAAAAAAATCCCCTTAAACTCATTATCCAAGAAACCACACTTACTATTTCATTATGTAGCTTTCTAGTCTTTTCTTTTTAAAAACTTTTTACTATTAATTTTTTATGCTGACACGCCCTCCATTCTCTGGCTGGTTCAAGTTTAGGATGCACTCAACCCTGGTAAGCACACCAAACCAACAGCAGCATCAAGTATCAGCCTGTTCCCCAACTAACTACCAAGAGAGGAAGGTTGGCGAGCTCTCCTGGGCTTGGAAAGGAAAATGACATTCTC